TTCGCTCCTATTTTCTCTCTCTTTTTCTTCTAGCCCAGAGGCGGCGTGGAGTGTGGATCAAAAATTGAAATAAACTTCCTCTCCTTCTGTTGTTTTTCTTCTCACACACGCAGGCGCCCCAATGCAGGTGGAAATAAAATGAACACATAAAACGATCTCCCTCCTCTCACTGTATACACAATCAGGCAGAGGCCGTGGCAGAGACAGTAGGCAGGAGAACCACATCACACCTGACCACGTACATCATACACACACACACACACACACACAGAGAGAGAGAGAGGGATGCCAACGAAGGAAGAACACACACACACACATACCTCTTGCCGTGCCTGCAAGAAAAAAAGAAAAAAAAAAGTAAATCCTCACGTTCCAATTTCGTTGTCACCCTCCCTCCCCCCCGCGCGCCCCAAAAAAAATAATAATATATATATATGTTAAAAAAGGGGAGATGAAAAACAGAGGGGCTGAGGGCTTGCAGGCATAAATGCATGTGTATCCATTACATCTAGCAAGAAGGAAAACAATAATGGCATGCATTTTCCCAGTTCAGCGACACCCGTCATATTTGCCTTCTCAGTAACCACAAAAGGAGAGAGAGATATATATATATATCCCCCTCACACGCATGGAGACAAACTCCCAGATCGCCTGGGCAACGGCGTCACTCCGTGCTCAGTGAAACCTCCTCGTAGCGGTGCGAGCGCTCTAGGTACTCACGGGAGCGCATTTCAATGAGGCGGGAGATGCAGCGTTCCATTTGAAAGGATGCATCACTGGCGTCAATCAACTTCTTTCCGGACTCACGCTCAAACTCCATGAGTGCATCCATGCGGATCTTGGTGCCGTCGCCGCCCGCGAGCTTCTGCTGCGACGCTTCGTACTCCTCCCTGCTCTCCTGAAGCTGCAGCGGGGGCACCTGGGCGTAGATGACCACCTTGCAATGAAACTCGTACAGAGAATCAATGAACTGGAGAAAGCGGCTCTTTATGTCACTGCTCTCATACGAGAAGCGCGGCACGCCCTCAATAAAGACGGTGTGAAACGTCTTGGCGATGATCTCGTAGTCGGCGCATGACGTCGCATCGTTGCATATCTCGTTGAAATGAAATCGAGAGACCCCGCCGCATGCAGTGCGCACTCGCACGTCCCGCCCAAACACCCGCAGCACCCGCTCCATAGTGGGCATCCCCTTGCAGAGCTGCAGGAAGAGTTGGTTAAACCGCATGTCGTTGTCGGCGTTGATGGGGAAGAGATACGTGTTTGCGTCGCTCCCGGCGAGACGGTGGTCCGTCTCACTGCGCATGTCGTACACCACGCATTGCTGTTTCACTAGTTCAATGAAAGGAAGGAAGCTCTCACGGTTGATGCCGCCAAGGTACAACTCGTCGGGTGGGCGGTTAGAAGTAAACACAACCACAAGGCCCATCTTGTAGAAGGCGTTAAACAGACGCCGCATGATCATGGCATGGGCCACGTCGGCCACGGCGACCTCGTCGAAGCAGAGCAGCTCCACGTCCGCCACAAGCCGCTGGGCGACTTCGTCGAAGATGTTTACGGCGGCCTCCGGCGTGCGGAGGGGCCGCGGTGCGGCGTTGCCGTTTTTCACGAACTGAACGTCGTGCGAGGTCCGCTGCACCTCCAGCATAAAATTGTGAAAGTGCACCCGCCGCTTCTTGATGCCGTCGGGGGCGTTGTGATAAAGCAGATCCATCAGCATCGTCTTGCCGCAGCCAACCCCGCCGTACACGTACATACCCTTTACGCGGGAGAGGGGGTGGTACGCGGCGTTCGCCCCACTACCAGTCTCCTCTAGGGCCCGCCGCACCTTATCATCCTGCTTACGGCGAAAAAAAAAAGAGGGCACCACACCGAGACGGTTTGGCGGCTGCAGCTCCACACGACGCGGCTGCGCCCGACCCGGGCCCTGCGTGTACCGTACAAGGTCATCGTAGAGGCGATCAAACGCAGGCAGGGCGAGCACTTGGCGTGCGTCACGGGAAATGGTCCCCGCGCTCACCAGACAATTATACTTCAGCGAGGGCCTACAGCTGCAGCGCCGCGGCGCCGTTATACCTCGCAGCATTTCCTCCTTCCTCCAAAGCACTGCCACACACACACGCACACAAAGGGAGGCAAAGCACACAGAACTCAACAACACGTGTAAAACAGTAAGGACAAATCGAGAGGGAGAGAGAGAAAGAGAGAACGGAGAAATCCCCATCCCCTCCCCTTCAATATATATATATATATATATATATTCTGCGTGTGTCTGCATGCAGTCGTACAATCATTCGTGCATCCACCCCTCGCCAAGACGCAGCACAAACGCCTCGAGCACCCGGCAGAGATCCACGACTGTTCCCGCGTCAATATCGCTCCCATCGTCCCTGGCGGTGTGCCACGAGGAAGGGAAGGGCCACGGAATAAGGTGCAAGACCCGCTGCGTCCCCATCCAGTGGATGTGGTCGTCCTCCACGGTCACGCCGCCAGCGAGCCGTGGACCTCTGGCCCACTTCTCCCCCACAGGAAAGAATATGTTTTGCGCGTGGTGACCCGCACTATTCGTTCCACACGGTGCAGGCGGTGTAATCCACAGCTCTGCAAGGTCGGTGCGGTGTAGCAACGGACCCGCGAGGCGTGGCACGCCATAGATAGTAAACATGTCGTGCGGACTTCCGTGGCGGCACCAGACCTCTGGCAGCTGCGGCGAACACGTGCCTTGTGCATCCATTAACTGCTTGGAAAGGCACGCAAGTCGTTCGGCGCGGAGCCGGTGGGCCTCCTCCACCTCAGCGAGCAGCGCAAACGCCTTCCCGCTCTGATCAGGAAAGTAGTTATGAAACTGGGTACCAGCTGGTCCCATAAGGTCGTACAGTGCGAAGAGGTCAATAGCATCCAACCGTGAGAGGGCGGAGTCGGCGTCGGCAGCGGAACGATCACGCGAGGCCGCAGCAAACCGCGTCTGCTGCCACAGCTTCGCCAGGTGCCGTGAGCCGTATGTGTGGTCTTCGCCTTGCCAACTCACAAACGCCTCCTCCCCGTCAAAGAATACCACCGTCAACGCAGGGAGGTTGTCCACATGGCGCAACAGCCTTAGCCAGTCACCTCCCGCACGAGGCGCCACATGCGCATCCGTCTCCGTGGCATCGCTGGCGTTTGCCACACGCGTCTTGCCACCGGAGAGACAACGGATGAAGTCATCATCATCAGCGTAGTAGTAGCGCAGAACTGTGCGGTAGGCTGGCGAGAGAGCCTGCCGCAGCTGCGCACAAACATCCCTGTTCCCAGCAGTGACGGCCGCCGCCCGAAGGACATCGCTCGTGTCTGACAGCACCGTGATCATCCGCATTGTCTCCAACAGGTACACCACCGGAAGGGCCGAATCGCAGGCGCCAAGAAATTCCATGTCGGCAAAGAACTTACTGTCCCAGTGCGCCGCCAACACAACATGCTGCAGCTTTTCGTCAGCCATACTGCTTCGCCACATGCCACTGTTCCTGTCTTTCGCTGCGGCATCAGAAACAGCAAAGGAGCGACGACGCCGGCGTCGTGGCGTTGTTCGGTTCCTGGTTTCCCGCGCAAGTGCCCGACGAAAGGCGTAGCCGCCCTCAAAGTTAAAGATGATGTTAGAAAAGTTGCGCGGCCCCAGCGGTGTGGTGTCTGTAAATTTGTCCCACTCCAGCCGCCAGCGCGACGCCGGCGAGGGCGGGGGTGCGGCGAGGTGAAAAAGCGCCTCACGTGGGGGTCGCCACTTGCCCGCTGCGACACTGAAGTCTATCATTTTCTGCTGCCCCGGCGAGGAGGAGCCGGCCACACGCGTGCCAAAACCCAGTATCTCCTCCAGCTGCTGCACCAGCCGATCACGACGCTGCGCGGCGGGCAGGAGAAACGAAAGCGCCGACAACACCTCTGCTGCGTCGTCGGGTGCGGTATTCTGCAGCGTCAGTGGGATGTAAGACGACTGCCACAGCCGCGCATGCGGTGGACGGCGCTCCGCGCGCCCCCACGGGGTTTCCACCCCTTCCCCGCCCGCCCCGCCCCGCGGAGGCAACCACAGCGAGAGTACGGCCATTGACACCCCCACGGCGACAGCAGCCAAGAACACGCACCGAGAGACCACTCCACCACGACCCCCCCTACCGTTTCTTCGGATGGCCACTGCCAGTCCTTTTCTGGGGCGGCATGCGTGGTTCCGCATTGGCAATTCCACACCCCTCCCCACCTTTTGTAACAAACACACCACACCGCTCTTTCTCTATGTGGAACGACTGGCTACGTACACGCGTGTAATGTACCCAACCACCCTTCTCTTGTCATGTATATGGAACTTGGGAGCAAAAGGCGTAAGAAAAAAGTGAAGGATAATGCTACTGCCTTGTATGCTTCACACTGCTGTCAGTAGAAAGCAAGACACACACACACACACACACACACAGGCAGAGACGCAGATATTCATCCATATACACTACGGCGTCAGTGCACGTCCACGGACATGCACATAAAGGGAGAGATAACTACAGATGAGTGACTTTACATACGTGGGCCCTTGTGTGTATGTGTGTGTCCGTAAATGTGTTCAGCGAGCACAAAATGGCGTGCGAGCGAGGCACACACACACAAACACACACATGCAAGAGAAACCACTTCTATATCACACAGCCCCCGCAATCACACCTTCAAACTCAGAAGGGACAGTCGCCAGTTACTCGAAGACGCTGTAGATAAACTCCGCCACCTCGTCTGGCTGATACAGGCCGAGCGCTGGAATCGACTGGCACTCCCCCGACACCTGTTCCCCTATATTTGCCTCGGGGTATGCCGCAGGCACAAACAAGGGATTCGACAGAGAGGCTTCAGACCGCTCCCCTTCCTCAACTAGGCCCGTGGATGGTACGGAAGTTGTGGGGGAGCGAAAGGTGGCCTCCAGAGGCGCAGGGAAAGCATCCGTGCTGCCGCTGAGCGAACGGGTGCTCCTCAGCGCCGCCGCGGCACTGCAGCTGCCAGTGTTTTTTACCAGCCGCAGCACAGCTACGTTACGGCGCCAGTACTCTCGCACCTGCTGCAACAGTCGATTGTGGTCCACAATTCGCTGCCTGAAATCACTAATCGACTCCCGCACCTGCTCCATCTCCTCAAAACGCTTCCGCTTCTTCTCCTCCAACACCTGCAGCGTGTGGGAGAGCTCCTCATTTAGCAACTGCGCGTCCACTTTCATTACATGCTCCTGCGAGCACCTCTCCGCCGTGATGAGCTGGAGCTTAGTCACCTGCGCGTCTCGCTGCACGAGTAACTGCGCCCGCTTGGATTCGAGCCCAATGCTGACCTGCATCATCCGCGCCGTTTCCTCCTGGTGTTTACGCAGCTCGTCACGCAGCCGCTTCACCTCCGCCTGCATCTTCCCACGTGAGGTGGCAAAATGGGCGGTGTCCTCAGCCAAGACAGCCAACAGGCTTGCGATATGGTCGGAGTTGAGACGTCCGCTGGCATCAAGGCCGACGCGGGTAGGCGGTTGAACAATCAACGGCCGCACTCCCATTAAGCCACGGTGCTGCTGGCGCCGTTGCGTGCGGGGCGCAACGCTCTCGGCAGGTTGCTGGTTACCGACTTTGGCGGCGTCCTCCCCACCGTCTGTTACCACCGCTTTCGTCGGTATGACCAGCGGGGGAAGCGTCAGCCCCTCCACCACTTCCGTCCACGTCTTGTCACCATGCAGCCTGCGCGACTGCACCGACAGTTCTGCGGTTGGGAGACGCGTAGTGATGGGCGATGACAGCTGCGGCAGCAACGAGGCGGTGGCCTCGTCCCCTGTCTTGGTTGCGGCTTCTGTTGCCGTTGCCGCGTCTTGTGCCGGCTGCGCCGCTGCGCCGCCCTCCTGCTCCACCCCCTCCTCGCTCCACCGCTGCTCCCTCTGTTTCCTTGCCGGCTCCTGTGGAAGTGATTCCGCCTGTGTCTCCCCATGCTGCGGCCTCACCGGGCGCCGTGCCCTTTTCTTGTCACGCCCTCTTGCCGCATCCTCTCGTTTCCCGCGGAGCCGCCCCAGTCGCCGCAGCTCCAGCTTCAGCTGTCGCTCCTCCTCGAGCAGCTCCTGCTCCCCCGACGGAGCGGACGAGGAGGCAGCATCTTCAGACACGTCGTCCCGCGTCGAGACTGGCACGGCAGTGGGTAGCCCCGAAAAGGACCTGTGCGCGTGGCCGTGTATGCGCTGATGCAACTCCCACGTGACGGTGTCCCCAACCTCTCCCACCAACTTCTCCATCGCCTCACACATGTGCCGATGCGTCTGGTCCCGCCGCATTGTCTCCCGCGCCTGTTCGCGGTCGGCACGACGTCGCAGCTGGTCCAGCAGCTGCTCCATCCGCGAGAGTTTTGCCATGACAGCGGTGCGCTGCCCACCCACGGTCCACTCTTCGGCAATGTGCAGCCGCCGACGGAGATCCTCCTCCATTTTACGCAATTCAGTCCTGTACGCGTCGGCAGCGTTATGAAAGGAGGCGAGCCACGCCGCCCCCACCACGCGCTGATGCACCCGCACAGACTGAATCTCCTGAAGAAACTTGAGCATATTTTGATTTTCCTTTAAGCTTTCCATGCGACCGTCAATAACGCCCTTGTGTTTCTGATTCACCTGGCGCACGAGCTCCGTATTGCAATCCGACTCCAGCGCCCCCGCCCTGTCACGCATCTCACTGGACTTCTCCTGCAACCAGCGCGCGACGTACGGGAAGGCGCGTCCCGTGGCGACGCCCAGGTAGAGCGACTTTGTCGCTGTGTTCACCTGAACCACGTTGCTCTTCTTCTCGGCGTTAGCGTTGGCCTTGCCTGCGTTTCCGCCCGCGCTGGGGCCATTCTTGTTGACCGCAAACGTCAGGGTCTGGGAGCGGGAGCTCATTGCCGCCTGCCCTTCCAGCCAATACCACCACTACCACTACTACTCGCGCCGCCCTAATGCACCACGAACTGCTCTTTACGCATGCCCGTGTGTGTTCCCACGTGCGTGAAGAAGAAGAAATCAGGAGATCCACACATCGTCTGGTTGCGCACACATTCGCGTCTCCTCACCATCCCCACCGCCCAGCCCTCCTCCTCCTCCCCCGCACATAAGCGAATACACTCGATCTATTTTCAACAACAAACACGCAAGCCTTCAGGCAACGAGGGGAAAAAAAAAAAAAACAGGGGGAAAAAAAACGAAGCACGACAAAGAAACACCGAGTAATTCCAAAGTCATGCGGGGCAAAAATATGAAACAATCAATATCTTTCCAAGATTCGTGTGTGTGTGCGTGCGTGTGACATCATCTCACTTCCCCCCCTCCCCCCTCTCTCCCTTTGTGTGAGTGAGTGGACATAAGCAGTTGGTTTCTTCTTGTGGCCGCGTGCCCACAAAAGCCCTCCTCCCCTCCTTGCTGTCTGCGGTTTCCTGCGAAATAAAAAAAAAGGATCGCATCGATATGCGATTCACGCACAAGGAATGTACGAAAGTAGCTCCGTACAAACATCCAGATACGGAGAGAGCAAGAGCAAGAAGGATGCCATCACAAAATCCTTCTCTCTGCTTTGCCTCCCTCCTCATCCCACGCGCACCGTGAAAGCAACAAGGGAACACTAGGGCCAGTAGCATTTCTTCAGCACCATCGCCATAAAAACAACAGCGCAGATGGTAATGAGAGCGTCGAGTTTTCTGAGTTGCACACGCAGCTGAACCCAGTCACCAACGTGAATACGGAAGAACTCAGGCGAGGCAGGTACAACAACTGGGGATGCCTCCTCACCCGCCATATGTTGTCCTGGGGCTTCGGATAAATTACTGGAAAACCTATACCGTGTCGCGTTTACGCCTTCATATTCATCCCATCTCTGCGGGTGAGGCTGGGGCTCTTCCTTTGTTTGCGTTGTGGTCTTTGTTTCAGTCGCAGGTGCTCTGCACTTCACAGCTGGTGGGGACGCCTCCTCTCTTTCTGTTTCCGTTTCCACGCCCGCTTCCGAACCCACCCTGCTTCCTGCATACGCAGTCGTCACCTGCGCCGCTGTGGCGGTCTCCACGACGGCTCCCTGGCCTACATGACTGTTCCCCGCATGTCTCTCCACCATCGTCTTTGTCACATCTGCTGTTGCCGGCGCCGTGAGGGCCGTGCTAGCGGCAGCCGGGGGGGAGGCACTCGCCACCGGCCCATCCGGTGATGCGGCTTCTACCTCGCCATCACCGGCGGCGGGTGCTTCCACGTTGCTTTGTGGCTGATCCATCACTCTTGGCAAATTCGCCCCCACTCCTGGCGACACCGGCGGGTACTGCTCCATCTGCGTCTTCCACACTTCCCACGCACTCGACATTCCACATGCCGCGCAGCTGAAGTGGTGGCTCTCCTTCGCCAGCCGCCGCTTCTCCTCCGGCGTGACGTACCGCTTCCTAAGGGACCCCACGCCAAGCTCCTCGTCCTGCGCCATGAAGAGCCGCAGCGCCACGAGGACGAGCTCGATGTTGTACGCCGGCTGCCACAGCTCCGGGTGGAAGCTGCTGATGGAGGAGCAGATCTTCGTGCCTACCTCAAAGCGGCCGCTGTTGGTGAGGAAGATGATGTCCGGCGGGGCAAGGGGATAGTTGCGAGGAAAGCGAATAACGCCGTGGTACAAGCCTCCCTCGTACGGCGAGTTGTCCGGCCCCTGCATAGTGAAGTGCCACTCAAAGATGTCAGCGAGCGGGCAGGTGTAAAACTCACGCACGCGTGATTCATCGAGTTTTTCTTTCTCCTTCGCGAGGCGCTTAATCGCCGCCGCCGCCGCCGCCATTGTTTTGTGTGTGTGTTTTTGTATATGTAGACCTCTTCCTTTCCTTGCCGCGCTGCTTGCAACTAATTGGATCCAGCGCAGCAGTTACGAGCAACAAAATGTGTTGGTGCTTGTGTGAACCTACCCAACGCCATGAATAAGTGAGGAATAATACACACACACACACACACACACAGACATGACAACCGCGCAAGGAATGAACACTGCACCCCAAAAGCGCAATAAACTTGTATAATGTATACATTATACATGACATACCCATCACGTACTCTTACCCACACAGACGCATCCAATGCGTGTTTGCGCCCCCCCTCCCCCAGCACTCCTGTGTGTGTATGTGTGTACAACTATACATAAATACACACGTATATATATATATATATATATACGTGTGTGTGTGCAGCTGTGAGTGGACAAGTAATAATTTCGTGTAGGTACGGCGTCTCTGCATAAGCAAATAAATAGATGGCCTGCGTGTGAGGCAAAAAACAAAAAAACAAATAAAAAAAGAGGGGGGGGGGGGGAGATGCGTAAGTGGCTGAAAGCATCGCGCCTGAGGGGAACAGAGGCAGGTGACACAACGCATATATATATATCTCGCATGACACAGCAGCAGCAACTAGCCAGTAACACACCCCACGCCCACCCCCTCAGCCCTTTTCGCCTTTATCTAATACCTTCTCGCGTGCTCCTCTGTGACGGAGAGACGGGGCTGGAAGTTGTGCGCTCCGCCATTGTGCTAACCCTTGCCGTTGCTGGGGTTGGCATTGTCGCCATTGCCGCCGTTGTCGCCTCCCGCCTCGTTCATGGTTGACATAAGTGTGTGGTACTCGAGGAGCTTCTGCGTCCGCACCGCGTTCATCTCCACGAGGTCGTCCACCGGGTGACGGAACTGCACCCCCGACGCCAGCAGCAGCTTCTCCGTCGGCTTAAACTCCTCCAGCTGCTGTGCCGCCTTCTGAGAGATGAGCTGCACCTGCTGCTCCATCTCCTCCTTCACCTTCAGTAGGTCCTTCTTTGCCTTGCTAAACTCCTTCGCCTTGGGGTTAAACGTGTCCATCGCGAGCTCCTGCTGGACGTGGTAGTACTCAATCCGCTTATTCAGCTCCTCCACGTGCCGCTCCTTCTTGAACTTCAGCTCACCCAGAGTGAGGTACAGGCTGCGGAAGTGCTCCAGCCGCTCCTTGCGCACCTCCAGCAGCCGATTCTCAGCGCCCTTCAGCACCACGTCCTGCAGGTGGCGGTTCAGGTGCCTGTACCCCGAACGCACCGCCTCACTGATGCCCTGCGTGCAGTGGAGGCTCTGCTCCACGTGCAGCAGCGTCCCCTGCAGAGCCGCCTCCTGCCTGTCTGCGAAGGCCATGAACGCCACCGCGTCCTCCTCCCGCTGCCGCTCCTGCGTGATCGCCTCCAGTTGGTCCTCAACGAGGAACGTGCGCTCCTCCGCGAGCTGGCGCAGGCGCAGCTCAAGCTCCTCGATGGCCCTTAAACATGCATCCTGCTGCTGCCGGTTCAATTCAAACAACTTCTCCCATTCCATCATTTGGACAGAGAAGCTCGCACGCTGCGCAGTGCGCGCCGACCGTACCGCTTCCCGCCGTTCCGCCAGTCGCTCTATATCGGCGGTGCAGCGCCGCTTCAGGTTCTCCTCCTTCATGATCATCGCTGGGGCAAGGTTCGAGGTGAGTTCAGTGGACTGGGTCCGCAGCTGCTGGATCGGCTCCTCCCCCGCATCCTTCTTGTACCTCTCAATCACCTGCTCAAGTTCGTCGTAGAGTGGATGCATCCCCTCCAGCAGCGCGGTCGCCTCAAAGTACAGGTGCTCAGAGCGCACCATGTCCCCGTCCATGACGGCATCCTCCTGCTCCCGCTGCTTCTCCATCACGTCAAACGCGGCACGGCGAAGGCGTTCCTGGGGTTCCTCCGTCGTGCGCTCCAGCGGGGTCACCCGCAACGCGTTTCCAAGCACCCGTAGCAGCGTCTGCGTCCAATCCCCCCACGTCGCAATGTCATCGGTGGAGCGGGCGCAGGTTGCGTAGCCGTGCTCAAGAAGACGCAGACTCTCTTCTAAGGCGGCCTGAAGTCCCTTCACGAGCGTGGGCAAAGACTCGGCCAGCGCATCCCCTTTCCCTGCAGCAGCGAGAAGCTTGGAGTACTGCTGGGTCTGTCGCATGTCGTTGGTGCTTGCAAGAACGCGCTGCAGAGGCTGCAGGCGTCGACTCACCACCTCTGCCGACGCCGGCACCGTCGGCTTCGCTGTGGACAGCGGATCGCCGTCAGGAAGTCGCAATTCATTCGCTTCCACCATCAACCCGCATTCCGCGCGAAAGGCATTTCCGCACCCCTCCGCAATGGCACTCACCAAAAGGGTATCCGCGCCCTTCCCCGCGTGAGTACCGCTGCTGCTATTGCCATTATTCATCACCCCCTTCGCGGGGAAGCCGAGTGCACCCCGAAGCTCCTCCAAGAGCTTCAAAATTTGTGTGGCGCCCTCGCCCGCCACGCGTCGACGAGCTTGAACGGCGGCCACTGCGCTGATGGGTATCGCACACGTGTTCAACACGGCATCGCACTGCAAAAGCCACTTCTGCGCTGCCGCCGCCACAGTCCCTCCACCCGTCTTGCTGCCGTAATCGTTGCTGTTGCTGCTGCTCATATTCAACACCATCGCTACACCCCCCCTCCTGCTTCTTTTGCCCTCTTCCTACGTTGCTGGTTTGGTGCTCCTCCCCACCCTGGACTCTCTCTTCCCTCACAGACGCGTGTGTGCGTAGTCAAAAACCTACAGGTGTGCGTTGGCGAAGAAGCAGAAAAAAAAAAAGACACACATTCATGGCGGAAGAAATGCACCCCTCCACACGCCCCCACAAAAAAGCGGCAGGAAGGATGCTGACAAGAAATACCCACATAGAGAGAGAGACACGCAGGCATAGATACACCTAGGGAGCTCCATGCTGCACGTGGACGCAAAGAAAGAAAGAAACAAATAGAGAGAGAGAGAGAGAGAGAGATGTGGAAGCAACCGGAAATAACTGTTTGCTTGTTTTTTTCTTTTTTTCGTTTGATTTTGTCCTATTCGGTTCTGATAGGAATCTCTGCACAAGGAGGCAAATAGGAAGATATATATATATATATATATCAGTGCCGCAAAAATAAAAAAAAAAGAAAACAACGCATGGAAGAGAAAAAACAAAATGGCCTTGATGAGCGTGGTGGGTGCAACCTGGGCAATGGCGAGCTTCCCCTTCCGCTCCCTTTTACTCCTCCTCCTTACCCACCCACCCACCACGCCCAGGAAAAACAAAAATACGCGTAACACCACCACCACAGTACCCTACACGTGCCAAAAGCAGCAGATGCAAACAACACCACACAAACATAGATCATTGTAGTTGGCAATATAAGGTCCATATGACACCCATCTTCTCTCCCTCCCCGCTCCAGGCAGCGGTGTGAAGGAGGTGGGAGGAGACATGACGCCTTAGGCAGATGGTGAGAAAAAAAAAAATAAATGAACAGTTCTCACCCACACGCAAATAGAAAAAGAGATTGAGAGAACAAAATAAGGCAAATCAAAATAACACACACCGCACATATGTAAATTACGTGGACACGGCCTCACCCCTCCCAGTCAGCTCTTCCAGAGATCCAAGATGAACGACAAAAACAAGAACAGGTCGAGACGGGCACGAAGGACCAATTTATCGCCTAACTCCCTCCACTCCAATACGTTAATGAAGGCATGACGTATTGTGTTTCTCTTCACGTACCAGAGACACCCAGGCCGCCTCGCGACGTTTGTTTGTTTGATTGTTTATCTGTTTTTTTTTTTTTTCAGTTCTACATGCAAACGCATGGCACACCTTTTCCTCACACCCGGGTCGGTCTCCTTCAACTTGCTAGTTGAATTCTCACCGCGGAAAAAAAACAAACTCTGTGTGCAAACAGACAAGCAAACAAATGCATGTATGTGCGCAATTATAGTCCACTCTACACTCATTACGTATGTATTTAATAATTATATATTTGTCTTCTACATCCCCCACCCCCCACTTCTTCTTGTTGTTGTTCGCCGCAGCAACCACGCGGCAGCTCTCCTTTTCACTCCTGCGCCTTTCTGCCAGCTTCCGACAGTGGCGTCGTGCCAAATATATCAAATGTCCGCATGTATGGAAAGGACCAGTTTAGCATATCTGCAACGACAATGCCGGGGTTGTATGAGATGTCAAAGCGCTGGATGCCCACCAATCTTGGCTCAATCTCGCCAAACACAGTCTGTGCAATGTCTTGGCGTGTCAGCGGCGGCAGGAGCGTGTCGTGCACCACTCTTGAGATGCTGCTGGTAGCAGTCATCACGAGCTGAGACGATGGCGTCGCCGGGGATGACAAGGAGGAGGATGGCGTCGTCGTCGAGGCGGTGGGGTGCATCTGTAAAGTGCTGCCACGGACACCGTCCCCCATACCACCACTCCCGCTCACTGCCTCTTTTACAGCGGCGATGTGCGCCGAAACTGGGTCAAACCCCTGAAGATCTGGATGGTTTGTCCGCTCCCCATGCAGTTCTAGCCGCCGCAAGATGCGTCGCAGGGTATACCGCACCATCTCGCACGTGCAGTTTTGCTTTCTGGCGTACATCTGCATATCAGTGGCCTCCCACGGCCAGTACTGCGGCTCACGCGGGGATGTAATCGCTGGCCGCCGCTTGACCCTCTTGCGCCGAGCCCGCCCGTACTGCGTACCCATGATAGACGTTGCCACCTCGGAGGACAACATTGGGGAGGCGAGCTGCGAGGCACCGATCGGTCGCAGTCCCTGCAAAACACCAAACAAATTCATGCCCCGCAACCGCACCCCCACCAGCGTGAATACAGGGTCTTCCTCCACGCCACCCAGGAGGTGGACACCGTCATCGCCACGCATGAGCGTCTCATTCATTGCGTCGCCGACGCCGCGCTTGTGGCGCCCAGCGAGAATAGACGGCACGTCGATAAGCGTCTCTAGTGGGTAGCGCAGGGCCGTGCACGTCACACCTTCCCATGCACAGTAGTCCTCGCCACGCCACACAAGGCGTAGACGCGGTATAGCTGCAGCAAGCAGCTTTACGAAGTGTAGCGTCTCAATGCGCATGTAGTCCGCATGCCGCACCGCACGTATCCGTTGCCTCCACACAAACTGCTTCGCCGCTTCCAGCGCCAGCGAATTCTCATCATTCCTTTGTCCACGGCACCTGCCACTGAACGTGGTTTTCGCGTTACTCTTCACTCCATGATTGCTGGGCCCACTACCTGCTACCGCGGCGGCGGGTGCGTTGGGCACGTCGTTCAGCACCTCCATCATGATCGTGCGGGGGTTTGGACCCCGGAACTGCTGTAGCGGAAGCACGTGTCGCACCACCGTGTCACTTACGGGGGCGCTGTACAACAGCACCAATACAATGGAAAGAGCGTAAAGGACCAGCATCAAGGGAGTGGCAGGAGCATTGGCGGACAGCACAAGCATCTGCCCCGCAGCCATCCCAACCAACTAACAACAACGAGGTGGAAATCAAACCACGCGACGCCCGTTCACCCGCAGACACAGAGGGAGGCGGCGGCAGCAATACGGCCGCACAGCACCCCCGTCCGTGAACGTCAGCCGCACACCGTTTCCAACGAAGTGTGATCACGCCTCTCTACCCACACTTCCCCTCACTACAACCTCACAAATAGCACTTTTTGTGCTTGGGCCCGCTTTCCTTCTCAAACTCCTCCTTTTCTTCCCTTATTGTTTTCCTTTTTATGGTAATGATGTCACCAGCGTCAGCTCTCTCTCTCTCTCTCTCCCCCCCACGGGATTTTGGACCCACAAAAACGGTCTGCGAGGCTTAGGTGCCAGACAGGCGTATTCGCCTTAACTCTTGCATTTGTGTGTGTGTGTGTGAGAGAGAGAGAGAGAGAGAGAGGACGAAGAAGCATACAACTAAAATCAAACAAACAAGGTAGGATACATGTGGAGCAGAATGGGAAAGATGCATGATGAGTCAACATTGCAGGCTTTTGCAAATGGTACACATTTGCCCTTCGTGACTCAATGCCTGTGTGTGTGTGTGTGTGTGTGTGTGAAATATCCGTGTAGAGTGATTGAAGGGGGCAATTATAGTATTCGTGGCACCGTACAATTGCTTGTCCGCCTATATATAACTCTTCTCCAC